TTCGATGAGTAACAGTACAACTCGCCGATACTCCTATCAAGGACTCCTCTTTACCTACATGAGGCAAGATGGACGTTACTTCTTCCGAATTAGTGGTCCACTTCTTTAATTCAAAACTTCCCCTACATAATAATTCACTTATCTGATTGACAAACCTTGCTTGGTCACAATTTGAAAAGGATATCAGGCAATCATCAACGTAAAAGATGTTCTTGACCGCGTCCACAACATAACGTTCATAATGACTCGAGAAGCTTTGGGCGGTTTTATTCATTGCAAGGTTCGCACAAAACGGAGATGGATGAGAGGTCATCTGAAATTCGGATGGTTCCTCAGACATATCTCCACCTTCCCACCACAGAAATCTTAGGGCTTCTCGATCCGACTCAGGTACCTTCACTTGCATAAACATTTCTTCAATATCCGCAGATACTGCGACTGCCTCCTTACGAAAGCGCATTACTATACACACTAGATCAGCAGTGCTGTCCGGTCCTTGATAGATCATATCGTTTAGGGAAACTCCAGCAAACGTGGCAGCACAGTCCAGGACTACTCTCAACTTTTCTGGTTTTTTGGGATTCAACACGAGATGGTGAGGTAAATACCATCGAGGACGATAATGCGACTTCAGATGTAATTCGAGTGCCTTGTCCGCATAGCCCTTGGCAACATTATCTTCCATACCTTTAGATATCTGACATGTAACCTGTCATCCCTCATCAATCTTCGCTTTAAGCTCTGTAACCTATCGCTTGCTACTTCATAATTCGTCCCATTCGTGAATGGTTTCTGTTTCCATGGTATCGGAACTACAAAATGACCGTCATCTAAATGTGTGCCTCTTTCTACAATTTCAATGGCGACCTTGTCTTCTACAGATACTGACTTGTCACTAGAATAGACATCAGCAAACTCCACATCATACAGCTTACGTATTCGGTCTTCCAATATTTGTACTTTACTGATATGATTAACAATCCTTTTTCTATATTCCGGATATGCTGTAGGTCCTAATATAGTCCATCACAGTAATGTTTTTACCGCATATGGTGTTTTACTCCCACCTAGCCGCTGATCTAACACTCAATGAGCATTAGAACGTCGTCGGAGTCTAGACTTTCTACTTGTATATCATTCAAGTGCGGCTACTTAATTAGGTTCCTCATTGCCGACATCGTAGGCTTATGCCTTGGTATGCTTGATACGATCAAAGCCCCTTCAATCACAATATGTTCCGACCTATCTAAAGAATACACTTCGAAGGTGGCGTTCTTAATCCCTGCCGTTCTATTACCCCCTACTGTCTGGACTACCATTAACTCATGGTATTTCTTCAACCCAGGAGATTTCATGCAGTTTGGCGTTATCAACGTAGTGTCGGAACCGTTATCCAGAAGGGCATAGCCTATAATCTCAGATTTTCCCGATCTCACTCGTACTGGAATCAATCATAAGCATACCTGACTGCTTAGTGATCTGGTAAGTCCACAGCAATGCTGAGAATCCCGCTTGTCATCCACTTTATTGGCGGTCAAATCCTCATGCAGCAAAACATGTTGTTTTTTCTCACAATTATCAACGCTACAACGCCTTACCGTCTTACAATCGCTAGCCTTATGTCCTTACCTCGGACAAATGAAACACATCCCCCTTCTCCTGGCGTAAGTCCATCTATCTCGAACTGTAAGCGCTAAAAATTGGGGACATTTACAAACAACGTGGTCGCCAGTACAGATGCTACAGTTGGTCCTTACGGTCGGCTCATTCGCATGTTCCGATTGCAGGTGACAACTCATCTTCACATCCCGTCTCATTTTTGAGCGATTAGCTAGCCGTCCGAATCTACTACCAACTACTCTTGCACGAGTTAATATAAATTCAGTGAGCTCGGCGAACGTCGGTTCCCTATCCTCTTCAATCCATCTAACTGCTAGGTCTGCCCACTGGCCCTGCATGGAGCGAGGTAAAAGCCTTACTATTCTCTCCAAAGTTACCAAAGAATTCAACTCAGAAGCGCAATTCAACTGCTCCAGGACCATAGCACTGTTTTGCATGCGGATGGCTAAATTTGATAGTTGCTCTGCGTCGTTTTAGTCAACGTTTCACGAGCTATCACGTGCGGTTGAACAAAAAGCCGCTTTAGAATATCTTTAACCCTGTCATAGCCTGTGGAGGCTTCCATCATGATTCACCCCTCAACGGCAGCTTTTGCCTTACCCTTGCAGTAGACGCAGGCTATCGACATTGACTCTAGATTCTAAATAGGTGGTGAACTGACATATGAATTCAAAATATTCACGATGTTGACCATCAAAATCACTTACCTCAACTTTTGCCAATTCTAAGCCCTCGGCCGCTGCCTTAGACATCATATCTTTCCAGGTACTTCAAACTTCTCGTTCAAACTATGACTTTTAGTGCCTTCTGACAATGGCTTACGATAATAAGTACTGAACATATTAACATCCTTATCTGATAGTGATCCCTTAAAGCAAAAACAAATAAGAGACACTTGCTTTTTAACATAAAAATCGTCATTCAGTTGTTTTTCATAGCTCCCACCTAAATTCGAGCTTGGTTTCTTCTTCTTCTTCTTACGAGAATTCATTATAGCGCCTGAATTTCAGCGAAAAACGGTTAGAAGTCAGATACGCGCACAGCTTAGTCCAATTTCAAAACACAAGTTTTCTGGGTAAGAACGGTTCTATTATTAATCAAAGTAGGAATACAGACAATTACCTAAAGAATATTATACTGTTCCGATCCGAAATTAACACAATGAGTTTCCAATTCTGGAAGAATGCGTCCTTCCATTCAAGTATACGAAGTTACCATAGAGGTATCGAATCTGATATGGCTATAGCCATATTAAGTATCAGTTTAAAAAACACATTTACAGTTTGGAAGGAAACATATAAACTCCAATAAAAGTACAAAATTAAGAATCATAACAAAATACAAATATTAACATCCTACAAAGGGCCTGAAACAGAGTACCAAAATATTGAACAGAAAGAGTCAGCCAGATCACAACACAAATATATACATGGAGGGATTTTCCCAAAAACGAAGCCGTTATGATAGATTCTACACCATGTTTGAAGGTTTTTGTAAAAATCCCTCCTTGTATACATTTGTAATTTGTTCTTATTGATTCCTTCTGTTGTACTTTTTGTTCGTTTGTTTGATTCCATTTGACATGGTAATATTTGTATTTTATTGTAGTTTCTTTTTTGCCTTAACTGAGTTTCTATGTTTCTTTCTGAACTGCATTTATGTTGTTTTAGCTGATATTTGTGACATACAGTCTTAAGTGGGCTGCGCAAGATTAGGCGTTAGGATCACCAATGTGCTATGCTCGTCGACGGGCTTACCAAATAAGTAGGGCTCACTACAGACCAGTGGGCTGACTCCTTAATTTATGATGCCCGAGTTGCCATGAAATAAATCTCCCATGCGGATTCTAAATATCATACTATGGCCAACCCCGTTTGCGCGATAGCGGTAATTAGTAACCAAATACGGATTCCATAGAATGAGTTTATTTCATGTAATCTTTCGTGCAGACTGATATGATAATGAGAAGGATACAAACAGAGTGAAGCGAAGTGCAGAAGGCGAGCTAGCCAACTCAGTGTGATGTGGTATGAGTAAGCATTTATAGTCAGACAAAAAGAAGCCAGACATGCGAAAGGTGAAGTACGCGATACGTAAGGATATTCGAAAAAACAACCAAGATACGATCGAATAATAGCGAAGGTCTAAAGAAAGAAAGCTGTAGGTCTAAGAGAATGAGCTAATTAAATTATCCGAAGGCTTAGAACAAATCTCAGAATAAAAATACACACTACAAGTTTAAAGAAGTCACGGCAAATCGCAAATTATTAATTAACAGTGGCCGATTAGGATTACTGAACTATAATGGAGTCTGAAATCTATTTCAATATTTGATCAAGAAACTGTATAGGATTTTATATTCGACATTTGTCAAGCGAAACTAAGAGTATAAAACCTGAGCGGTTTCGATATCTTTCGCAAACTGTAGGCGAATATCCTGGGGCGAGTTACATAAGAATTGATGAGAGTGGGAAAGTATATTTCTAACATGTAGGAAAGTTAAATGCAATGTCTCAAGCTGTTTCTTATGAAGGTTTAATAGGGGATCTAGTATTGTCTCACTGTGCCGTTACATTTTTGATCATATTTCATATTCGGTTCTTCAGTCTTGTGGAGAAAATCTGCGAAAGCATTCTAAAAATGTCCAGAAACAATTCCTCAAAAATCATCTAGAATTGCTGTCAACTACTTTTAAGATTCATGCACGACCCCACCGTGAAATCCATAATATCGTTTCACCATCCTAACGGAAAGACATTTCCCAGTGTGTATTCAGGTCCTGGTAGCTGTCAAGTGATCACTGAAAGCTCGGACATAAGGTCAAACAGCTGAGGAGATGGAATGAAGACAAGCAAATCTCTTCACTTGATGTGGTGGCAGCTTAGCGCTAACGCTTAAAAAATTGCTTCTACCTATTTTTGGAACACACGGACGGCCCTACCTAGCATTTCACAATGTTTTACAGTTGCCTTCCTTCTTCTTTCTTTTGATTTATGTTTACTTGATAATCTGACACATGTCTGTTCATTCAGTTTACGTAGTTGACTTAATTATACCTGATTATTGTCCTTTCTTAACTCCTGTTTTTCTAACCTAAAACACTGCATTTTGTGACCTATCAGTCTTCCAATTATAAACGTGACATCTACCGGATCCAGAAACCTTACTAATTTGAGGTGACTGTATTCACACTAATTTGAAGACACAAAACTACATATTACTTTTTGGAACCTGTATAGTCAAGTAGCTAAACTACTTGAAGAAAATGAAGACCAGTAATCATATATTAACGACGAATTTAAAGCTCAAAGAAATTACTTGAATTATGATAGCTTGACAGGTACATATTTGACAGTGAACATTTAATAGTACCGTTAAAGATTTTTGTTTGATCGCGTCAGCGCATTAACTCGTTACGGTCTGCTTGAACTGCGCTTCCAGAATCTGCTTCTTAAAGCATGGTTTGTCTTTTGCTCCGTTATCTATAGACCTAGGCTGCTCGTGCATTTAGAAAGTTTGCCCCGCTTTCTGATCGAGTGTTGGTACAACGTTTTGAGGCTGAGACCAGAAGTAAAGGTGGGATCATGCTACCAGAAAAAGCGAAAGGCAAAGTGCTCGAAGCAACTGTAGTTGCACATGGTCCAGGAGCAAAAAATGAAGTGAGTAGCTTATTATTCGTCATACCCTTTGTAGAAAGGCGAAGTAGTCCCAGTTTGTGTCAATGTTGGTGACAAAGTTTTTCTCCCTGAGTACGGCGGTACTAAAGTCGTTCTGGAAGACAGTGTAAGTACAATTTAATTAAAGTATGATGTCTGTAGGAGTACTTCCTTTTCCGAGAAGCTGATATTTTGGCCAAGTTCGAAAACTGACCGGTGTTGTAAGCCTAGTCCAATCACTTTTGTACACTGATTACTCAAATACCATAGTTTTTCATTTCCGTTAACTCTTCTTTTATTTGGGTTGTGGTGGTAGACGTCGCTAATGTGGTTGTCAGCGTTTTATATTTCTCGAGGGATTTATATAATCATTAAAGAACTCTTGGCTTAGTCAATATTACTGTAGGATTCAAAATTGCTAGTCCAGTCTATGTTAATGTGTCAACTTGTACAGATGTGCGTACTCTGAGTTCGAAGTCAGCTAACTGACTGAAGTGTGATTACCCTGTCAATCCGGAGTATCGTATGTGCTGTAACATGAAGTAGTTTCAAAAGCATCACGTAGTGACTACATACAAATCTAAACAGACGACTGGTTGTAATGCACGCGTTTACCTATATACATTAATCGTTCACGCGACCTATGCATATGGTGCAACTGAGTAGAAACAAGATTTTGGCGGAATCGATCGTACCTGCAGCTAATTTCATTATATGCGCTCTTGTGGCCTGTTAAGTGTGAGACGAGCTATCTGAACACTAGGGATAACCTCCTTGGAGAACGGCTATATGGTGAGATTAGGGACTATTAACTCAGTAAGCGTTTTTCGCGTTCTATTCTGCTTTCTGTCGGTCTGTTACACTATAATTTAGGAACACCAAGATAAACGCCCCTGTTGGTGTTGGCTTGGCGTTTGTGAAGTGTACTTCGTTTAGTTACTTGTCGTCAACCGATTCAGCATTTTAACCTGAGTATCAATACTATTACTCGATTTTATTAGACGTTTGAAAAAGCTCGACTCGAAGGTAACGTAGTCCAATTAACTTGATAGGGATTTATAATGGTTGCTGGTTAGTACGTTAGTATATGGTTGCATGCTTAATTCTAATCGACGGTTATTCCCTGAGTGGAGGTCGGCGTCTTGATCTCCGATATCAAACACTATCCAGTTGCGTTGACGTATCGATGGTAAGCTGTTGTTCTGCTTCAAGCGAAATCGAGTCGCAGATTTATGTTCGTTGAGTCAATCTATCGCGCCACAATATGGCTGGATGAACATCTAGATAATTTGAGAGAATCATATTACTTACGCCTGTTACCCCCAATGGAACATAGGCTGCTAACCAGTTTTCTCCAACCAACTCTGTCTTGGGCTTCCCTTCCCAATTTTCGTCCATTCTCATGCCTTTATTTCTCGACGTGGTGTGTTCCTTGGCCTTCCTCTTTTCCTTTCAACTTGAGGTTCCCATGTGAGAGCTTGTCTTGTGATGCAGTTGAGTGCTCTCCGCAGTGTGTGTCCTATCCACTTCCACCGCTTCTTCCTGATTTCCTCCCCCACTGGAATCTGGTTTGTTCTCTTCCATAGTAAGTTGTTGCTGATGATGTCTGGCCAACGAATCCGAAGTATTGTGCGTAGAAGACTGTTAATAAACGCTTGTATCTTCTGAATGATGGCTTTCGTAGTTCTCCAAGTTTCTGCTCCATACTGCAGAACTGTACTAATATTTATACTTAAAATTGTGAGTTTGGTGTATGTAGATAGTTGTTATGGGTTCCAGGTGTTTGACTTTATATCTAAAATCCTGATTTTGGTTTCGGTTGAAAGTTGTTTGGAGTTTCAGATGTTTTTCAACTGTAGAAATGCAGTCCTTGCTTTGCCAATCCGCGCCTTCACATCTGCATCGGAACCACCTTGATTGTCGGTGATGCTGCTCAGATATGTAAAGGTTTTAACGTGTTCCAAGGCATCTCCATCAAGAGTGAGTGATTTGGTTGGTGCATGTTGTGTTGCATCGGAGAATTTCGTTTTTTCCTTCATGTATGTGGAGACCTATTGCTGCAGAGGTTGCCGCTACACTGGTCGTCTTTTGTTGCGTGTGCGATAGAAGAGTCAGATCATATGCGAAGTCCGGATCGTCCAGCTGTGTCCTAGCTGTCCATGTTGACGTTTTCATAATCCACTTGATCACCAGGACAGTTCTTCACCTCGAACGAGTCTGTCAGCTGATCTCCGTGCACGATTTTGCAGTTTAGTCCATCATGAGAATTCCGTATGATGCTAACTATTTTCTCAGGCACGCCGTAGTGTCGAAGTTGCCTCCATAGTGTTTTCCTGTCCACACTATCGAATGCTTTCTCGTAGTCAATGAAACTGATGAATAGTGGTGAGTTCCACTCAATTGATTGTTCCACAAGATCCGTAATGTTGCAATTTGGTCGGAACACGATCGATCCTTACGAAATCCAGCCTGTCGGTCTCGAAGTCGGGCGTCTTCGAAGTCAGTCAGATGCAACGTAGAACTTCGTACGTAAGTACATCAGTTCATGTCGCCACACCACATCAGCACACAGATGTGGTTGTCAGTTCAAATCCAATAGTAGAAGAGGTAGCAAGTTATTAGGAGTAGTCGGAGAGGTTAGGATTAGACGATATTATTCAAGAAGTATGATTTAATGAGAAAAGTTTACATCTTCGAAGTCCTTCATTCTGTTCAACAATACCCTGTTGAAGACTTTGCCTAGTGTTGAAAGAAGAGTGATCCCCCTGTATTTCTCACACTTGCTGAAATAGCCTTTCTTTAGTATTTTTACCAAGCATCCTTCTTTCCAATCTGATGGTACATGTTCCTCATCCCAAATCTTGTTGAAGAGAATGTGAAGTATTTTTGCAATTACTGCTACGTCTGCTTTCATTACCTCTGCCGGAATGTTGTCTGGTCCTGCTGCTTTGTCGCACTTGATTTATCTGATGACCACGCTAATCTCTCCAATCGTAGGTGCTCCAACATCGATTAGGGAGGTCCGTGGATGCTGCTTCGATGTTGGGTGGGTTCAGTGGAGCTGGTCGATTCAGGAGTTCTTGAAAGTGCTCTACCCACCTATTTCGCTGTTCTTCAGTGTTGCTGATTACTTTGCCTTCCTTGCTTTTCACTGGTCGTTCTGGTTTACGATAGTTTCCGGCGAGCTTCTTTGTTGTTTCGTACAATTGTCTCAAGTTTCCGTCTCTTGCAGCCTTTTCCGCCGTCATTGCTAGATCTTTCACATATTTTCGTTTGTCAGCTCTGATGCTCTTCTTCACTTCCCTGTTTGCTTCCGTGTATGCAGCTTGTGCCTTAACTTTCTCATGCTCTTGTTCTGCTGACATTCAATGTTGCTTTCTTTTTCCTCCTTTCATCAATTTTTTCAAAAGTGCCAACAGAGATCCATTCCTTGTGATGGTACTTCCTGCGACCCAGAACTTCGTGACATGTTGAAGTGATGGCCGCCCAAATCCCTTTCCAATCGTTCTCCAATGTTGCGTCCTCTCCATTGAGTAGATCCTGACAGCCCTGGAACCTAATGGTGAGGGCTATCTTGAATTCGTTGAGTTTTACGGTATCCTGAAGAAAGGCCGTAATAAATTTGTGTGATGTTGTCTGCCCCGTTGTCCAGTGCTTCTTTAGTTTCAGTTTCATTTTAGCGATCAGCAAATGGTGATCTGATGCTATATCAGCTCCTCTCTTGGTTCTCACATCCTCCATAGTCCTTCTGAACATTTCATTGATACAGATATGTTCAATTTGGTTCTGAGTAGTGTGGTCCAGTGAAATCCATGTGGCTTTGTGAATGCGTTTGTGCGGGAATATTGTGCCACCGATGACCAGTTTGTTGAAGGCACATAGGTTTGCAAATCTCTCGCCGTTTTCTTTCCTTTCTCCTAGTCCATGTCGTCCCATGATGTCTTCATATCCAGTGTTGTCAGTTCCACCCTTGGCATTCAGGTCTCCCATCAGAATGTTCAAATCCTTTGGTGAACATTTCACTTGCGCCATTGCAAACGATTTTGAGCCATATCGTTCAAGGTCTCTAACCATCGGTGACTTTCGTCTCACGGACCCCAACCAGGTAGTCGACAACTACCGACATGACTCATTCCACTTGTCAATGACTTCATGGATTTGTGCCATGTTTTGTTTTAGCCGCCCCTTGCCTTCGTCCAAGCTATTCCTATATCTCAAAACATATCTCGTCGCGGCAGTCGGTGGTTAGGCATACGCAGCACATGTCCTAACCACCTCAACTGATGAAGTTTCACTACTTCATCTATTGATCTGCCATCCTTACCTAGCACCCGTTTCCTAACAACAGCATTGCTTACTCGGCTGTCCCACGATACTCGAGCAATGCTTCGGAGACACCTATGATCGAAAACCAGTAACCTACGAATATCTTCTACTCTCACTGGCTATGTTTCACATCCATATAAGAAGGAAGGAGCGAACCACTGCACAGTACACTCGTCCTTTAGTCAGCAAACGGATATCTCGCCTACGCCATAAGTGACACAAGTAGGCAAAAGCCAATCGAGCTTTCTGTATCCGTGCTTTGCTCCGTATTTTATTAGTAAATAAGAATGGTAACTGAATTATAGTTTGTTTTATGATGTTCGTAACTAGTGTTAATAGTAGTAACAATAGAGATTGAAAAATGAGACTTCGACTAGTTACTAGTTTCTTCCCACAGGAATGAAAGTATTAAAAGGAGCAGTCGTGTATTACATCTTCATTTGAAATAAAACTGTCTTTACGTAACTATTTTTCAGGCAACAAGTAAATGGGAAGTTTACAAATCTCCTTTGTTTTGAAAGTGACATTGATATAGGGTTATTTGAAGTTTTTTCAGCACGTTCTTGTTTGATCCACTCGCAACAAACAGCACACAAATTATTTCGTTCAGTAGTAGTTACTACTGTGTATTGAAGTAAACAGAAAAAAAGTATTCAAAACCGACATTTAATGGGCATATGATTCGTTTTTATTTTGTGGCTTAATTACTGCACATATCCGACCTTGTTTACACATACGTAATTATCAGATCTCACGGTGAGCTAGCAAATGGGATTGTTGCAATAGGAACATTGATGTATGATGTATTAGGAATGAGCCTTCGTTTTTGATTGCGAAGTTGCTTTATTTCGCTGATTATTATTTCAATAGACTTGTCATAACCAATCTTCTAGGCAGTTACTATGATTACATAGTTTAATAATCGCTAGGTACGGTTTTTTTTATCGTTTCCGTACAAACTAAAATGCAACTCAATTGTGAAGTATTTCTGTGTCCGTGTCACTTGATTGCCTAAACTTTATTATCAACCAACCAATCGCAAGTCCATGTCTCATCTTGTAGTGAAGGAGAACACAGGTGAGGGCAACCGAATCGTATTTAACGAAAATTACAGAGTTACTCAGTAAAATTGGAAAACCGTATCGTAAATCGTTAATTTGCAAAATATCAGTTCATCATATCGAACTGGACTGTTCCTGTTGCAAAACATCAATCCGTTGTCACTATTCATGCGCGTTTCATCAAATTCCATTGTGTTCTAACTCTTCCTTTCTTGATCTTCCCCCATCTTCTGCTGCCAGACATTACGTTGACACTCACGTCATATACTACTTATAAGTAGCTCACACCACAATCCTACCTAATAAAACTAGAATTCTAAATCTGGCTTGTCGTGTGATATCTTCTATGTATTTTAGATATGACATAAATATGATGTAAAAGATGTTAGGTAACAGATTGATTCTTCTGAAATACAGTCGTTTATTGTATTGAAGTAATATTGAAACATAATTATATGTAGCCTCCAAATACCAGAGAGTGGTAACATTCAGTTCTCGAAATTCTCTTACATAGTCACGACCAGGGAAGTCCTATTCTCGTGTTTGGGGTGTGATTTATAAAATCGGAAGAACAAAAAGTGAATGTCCGTCTGGGAATTGAATCTGGTTGGTGGGGTACAGAGTATCAATCAACTCTCTCACTCTTAGTCTCTTCACTCGAGTATCCTGTTAGTCTTGTGAATAGACAAATTGTGTATGACACCAAATCCTGAACAATGGACATCACAACAGATATCTAAAAGTGGTTTATGCCTGACAAAAATTTTTCTTCAT